TCCCCCCCCCCCCCCAAAAAAAAGAGATCATAACATGAATGCTTTTAAGTAAGACTAGATTGCATTAATAATCCTTGTTATTGCATTTGTTTCCCTTGGTTAGTAGGACTGATCTCTCCTGGCCACAATTTTGTTTCTAAAAGTATATTTTTAAAAAGCAGGCAAGTTATTTGGGCACACCTTTTTTTTTTATTATACAGTGACCATAGGGGTTTATGCTGATTTAGGTGGAAGCCATGAAATGATATGGGAGGAATTAGTGTATCTTGCAAGACCATGAATCTACCACTCCAGAATTTTAACTGTGCCTTTCCTTTAATCGTGGGGTCAAGATGGATGACATACTACACAAGGGCATTTTAATGCTTCATTGAAGTTGAGTTTGAGGCCTTGGGCTTCACGTGGCTGTAAAGGAACAAAAGATTCTTTGTATTGCAGCATGAATTTTGCCACCAAAGAGATGCTGACCTCATTGGCATATTGCTGTACACAAAGTAGAAGTGGTTTAAGTTCATAATAAAGTCTACCACTTTGTTAGGTACTATACAAATACAAAATGAGGCTTTTTATTTAGGCCCTGATGTAATAAGCCAGGCATGTAGTAGTAGAGGAGACAGGTTTGATCTTTACTGTTTGTCTGTGCTTATTCTAAAAGCAGGCTTCACAGACTTGTTTTCGTTCAATTTTTAGGAGTATTCAGTCTTGGAGTCCCAGTGGATGCTCTCTTCTTCATTGGCAACCAGTTGGTGGCTACCAGTCATACAGGGAAGGTGGGAGTATGGAATGCAGTGACTCAACATTGGCAGGTGCGTTCAATTCAAGCATTTTATTAAGACAAGTATTATCAAAACTAACATAATTTGCTTGGAAACAAGCGAAATATCAATTTGTTTAGATATAGCTAATATAGATAATCAATATAATGCTTAATATTAGTAAGTATGTATGTAATATTGAATGCTATTCTGGTATCTGCACTTTAGTTTTATAAGGTACTGATATCTTAAAGTGCCCATCATCTTTATGCCAAAGCTTCATGTCTTTAGCACCCAATCTCACAAACTTTCAGATTTTTTCTCCTATGGTACCATGGAGCCCGCAACTTTATTTAGGCTCTTAAAATGTTTGACTGTTAATATTTATTATTTCTTGAGTACAAGTATGTTAAACCTCCCATCCTCGGGCTTCCATCCTGATTGTTGAAAAATTATTCTGTTCTTTTGGACCCTGTATTTGAACTTACATTTGTTGGGGAATTACATATTCATTATTACATATAAATATGACTGTGATTCTCAACAGCATATCTGGAATTGAGGATGGGAGTTTGAAGTATGGTACAGTGAGGGACTACATTCTTTTAATGGCACTGTATATCATGCCTCAAAGACCTCTATTTTATAGCTATACAGTCAGATACAGTGTGATTTTTTGTTTGTTTGTTTGTTTATATTATGCATTCTGACAACAGGAATAGAGATTCTTGGATTCCAGACAAGACCAAGGGAAGAGTTGGGCATTCATGCAAGAAACAAACCTTGTAACGCAGCCAGATGCATGTCTCCATGGCACAATATAGAGACAGATTATAATGAAATCCAAAAGGCTGCCTTGCAAATCTCAAGAGGCAGAACTGACCTGAGGCCTCCTTCTGTGACTGCCACAGTAGTGGTTGAATAAGTTCTGATCTGACCCTTAAGCAACAACCCTGCCAATGAATAACACGGAGAGTACAAAAAGGCAACCGGTACAGGACAATACTTTGCTTCTATAGAGCAGACTGACCTAATCTGTTTGCATTAAGTGAAACAAAGCTGAAGTGCCTTTTAAGTGGCCTTTTTTAACACCATAGAAAACGCACAAAAACTTTGAGTTCCTTTTTGCATTAATGATTTATTTACAACAGTAACAAATGCATGAATATTTTCACATGTTAACCCCTCCTGTCTCTCAAACCAGTATATCTTACAATACTGACGACCACAAGGCAGTAAAACTTAGTTTGAGGCCTTATTAAGGATCCAAAGTCTATATGATTTTGGAATTAAAGATCATAAGGCATAAAATGGTTCTTCTGATTGTTGTATGCCATGGGCTGGGATAACGGGAATTTTCTGGCAACAACAACAAGGTTTTCCATAGAAAAGGAAAGGTAAATTTTTCAGAATAAAACCTGATAAATTATGAAAGTGAATCAGATTTCAAAATGAAGATGCCACCATTGATTTTTTTTTTTCTTTCCTGTTCCTTCTTGCCATGCATAATCTAAACTGCTCTGCAGTTATGGGCTAGTCTTTTCGGGTTTTTATAAAACTAGTCCACAAATCTGAAATACACAGTACATTCCTCACAGCCTACAATAATTTACTACAGAAAGGTCACCATACACTGATCTCCGGTAGAAAACAGCTTGCTCCACCAGAACTGGAGGCTTTGGAGAACAAATACTTTGTTTGTGTTTATAGCTTGTTAGCAAACTGATTCCCATATAAACTAAACAAGTGCTCCATTCTCTTAAAATTAAGGTTTCTTTTTATTGATGTTTTCCCACAGTCTTTATGAATTTTTCATAGTTCAAACTTGCTTTTAAGAAGTTCTTCCTAGCCAGCTATTTTCCCTCTAGCTAAAAGGAGATGCTTTTGCATCTTATGTAATGCATCCTGAGGATGTTCTGAATTTTCCTTTGTTTGTAATAGATTTTGGCATCTCTTCCCTGATTCTCAGAAGTTTGGGCAGACTAGCTGAGGTGGCTTTCCCCTAATGCATGTTCCCTTGGCAAGATTTTGATGGCATATGATATAGCAAGAAAGTTGCAGGCATTAGATAATCTAGCACTGAAAATCAGTAATATGAGAACATTTAAGGAGTTAGATTTCTCAATCATTTGAAAATTAGATAACTGGAAACAACGGCTGTTTCATGCCAAGATTTCAATCTGTCAATAATGCTTGATAACCTTATGTGGCTCAAATTAAGCTACCTTGTAATTTTGGTCTTGTTTCTTGATCTATATTATTTAAGTTTCTATGTCTAGGCAAAAGTTTGGGTTTGGTTTTCTTAATAATTTTATTTGTTAGGTAACAAAGATTCAACATTGCTGTTAAAAGGTGAACTTGATCAGATCAAAATAACCACAATTGTAAGGTACATTCACTTTTTCTCAGCTTGGATTGAGCACAAAAATTATGCTACTTCAATACCTGCCTGTTGTGCTGGTAGCACTCAAAAATAAGTCAATACAGCTGTCTCACAAGCAGCATCATATAAGGGATGACTTTGCTTCATTTTATTCAATATATATTCCGGTAAGTTGAGTTCTTTAGTCTCCTGGAAAGTCTAGTTATATCTGCATTCTTTTTATCTTGATCACTGCTATTGGTAATTTGTCTTCAGTATTCATTTGTCTCTTTCTGGAGCAATCCATCACTTCAGGTTTTTTCCTTAAATAAGCCAAGAGTAAGATAATTGAAAGTATATTCCTAATTTGTGCCATTCTGGGGTCTAGTCCATTCATGTTTCTGTGAGAACTCAATCGTGTTGGGACTATGACTGGTACACTTGCCTAAATGGCATTTAAGTGATGAGATGCTAAGTCACTAAAACATTCTACACTTTTTAGAAAAATAAAGCTGGTTATTATCAAAAATACCAGTATACCAGCTAGTGTGAACCTCTTTTTGAGGAGACCTGCAGACTTTCATTGGGGTACCTTAGTTTGCTCATCTGGTAAAGCAACAGAATTTAATGCTATTATTCTATAGCCTCAGCCGGTGTAAACTGGCAAAGCTTCACATGTCGTGCATTTTTACCAGTGACAATTTGTATCATCAGAACATTATTCAAATGCTAAGCAATGCTAAAAAGTACATTAATTTCATTGAAGAAAATCAAATCCTTCTCCTTTCTGAACAGCTATAGCCTTCTTCAAGCCCTGCCATTGCTTTCAGTTTTATTGTGCAACAGCTTAACATTTAAGCGAATGTCTGTGTTGTTTTGTAACTTTCCATAGGAAAATTTTGGCATCTCTCAAGAAAATAAATTTGTAACCTTGGGCCATATTGGACATATTTTGGGGGGGGTTTATTATAAAAATATATTTCTCTATATATATTAGTTTATATATATCTGCTCTCTAACCTATTACATCCTAAAAAGGTTAAACCAATCCCATTACAGAAAACCACACCTGCGCCCTGAGCACCCATACAAAGGCCTGCTGGCCACCCGTACCCGTTACAATATCTGCAAATGCGCGCAACACATGCAGACTACAAACTCAGTCCTTTCTGGTCCCTCCTAACAGCCCTCCCTTCATGTCCACCCTCACCCCACTTCCGGGGTCAGGTACTTGGCTCAAAGAGTCTCTCCATCGTTGCTCCAGCTTCCACTGGAGGACCCGCTGCTGCTGCCATTGCTGTTGCCGCTGTCTTCCATTCCACTCATCTGTTCCTCTTCTCCTCTGCTTTCTCTCCCTTCGTCACTCGGCGGGGGTTGTATGGTCCTGTGCCATATATCCCTGTGCCGGATGGTGTTTGCTGAGTCTTCTCCGTCCTCTGCTACCGATTTCTGGTGGTAGGTTCAGAGTTCACTCAGCGCCATCTTCATGCAGCCCACTACTTCTACATCCATTTGTCTGTACAGGAGCAGATTCCTGACCTTCCACAAGGCGCTCCTGACACAGGATGCAAACTGTTTGAACCAAAGCGATGGGCTCCTCTGGTGTTTGACGAGGTGCCTATACAGCACGGCCTCGCTGGTTAGCCAGCTGATGCCGGTCGCTGCTTCGCATAGCTGCTGTACCCTCTTCCATACCTCCTTGGCACAGGTGCAGAGCTATAGGAGGTGCTCTATTGTCTCAGTGGCCCTGTGGCAGTTGGGCCACGGGCATCTGGGTCTTCCCAACTGCTCCTCTCTGTCTCTGGGCCTTCACTGGGAGAGCTTGGTGAGCTATCAGCCAAGTTAGGTCCCTGTGATCTTTGCGCAGCTCCTTGCGGTGGATGCGCTCCCACATGGCTTGGCATACATCTCCCAGGAGCAGGTCCATGGTATCCCTTTGTCTCACTGTCTCTTGGATCTTCCTGTGGCTTTTCATGGTTGCCAGGCCCATGTTCTGCAGGCCGTACATGTTACAGCATTGGTTCAAGGTCTCGTAGAACCAGGGCAGGTCCGTGATCCATGGCCTATGGTTAGTCGGGGTGAAGACCCCGCAGTGTCTCGGGATGTGCCCTGCAAAGTACCTCCCGAGACACGCAATTTTGGTGTCTGCCTCCGTTGCCAGCTTACAGATCATGCTCGTCATGTACTTGGCTCATAGGAACAGGAGGATCTCTGGCATGCCCCTGCCCCCGGCCCTCTTGTCCTTGCACAACATCTTCTGGGTGACCTTTTCCCATCTGGAGCCCCAGAAGAAGACCCACATGGCCCTCTGGATCCTGCGGGCGACATGCTCGGAAGGGGGGCAGACCAGTGCGGTGTACAGAAGCACCGGTAACAACACGGCCTTCACAAGTGCGCTGCGCCACCCCCTGCCCCCCCAATGGAAAGGGAATGCAAGTGCCACAGCCCCAGTTTCTGTTTTGCCTTGGCCTCAGTCTTCTCCCATGCTGTTCTGCCGCTCAGCTCCGGGTCAAAATCTGTCCCCAGGATCCTGACCACCTCATGGCGTACAGAGACCCCCAGGGATTCCAGGTCCCTGACTTCACCCACGGCCAGGCAAGTGCTCTTGCTTCGCCCCCATATTGGACAATTTTTTTTTTTTTTGGTAAAAATATATTTCTCTCTTTCTATAGATATATATAAACGATCCCATCACAGAAGAAGACCCGCACCTGTACAAAGGCCTGCTGGCCACCCGTACCTGTTACAGTGTCTGCAAACCACGCGCAGAATGCACAAAATACACTCGGTCCTTTCTGGTCTCTCCGACCAGCCCTCCCTACATGTCCGCCTATGTCCCACTTCTGGGGTCAGGTACTCGGCTCAACTGGTCTCATCCACTGGAGGACCTGATACTGTCCTCCTGCTGTTGTCACTGTTGCTGTCCTCCGTCCCACTTGTCTGGTCCTCTTCTCCGCTGCTGTCGCTCTCTTCTTTCCTTAGCAGGGGTTGTATGGTCCTGTGCCACGTGTCCCTTTGCCAGGTGGTGTTCGCTGCATTTTCTCCATCTTCTGCTACAGATTTCTGGTGGTAGGTCCGGAATTCACTCAGCGCCATCTTCACGCAACCCACTACCTCCATGTCTGTTTGTCTGTAGAGGAGCAGGTTCCTGGCCTTCCACAAGGTGCTCCTGACACAGGATGCAAACTGGTTGAACCGGAGCGAGGGGCTCCCCTGGTTTTTGGTGAGGTGCCCATACAATGCGGCTTTGCTGGTTAGCTGGCTGACTCCGGTCACCGCTTCACAAAGCTGCTGTACCCTCTTCCATACCTCCTTGGCGCAGGTACAGAGCCACAGGAGGTGTTCTGTTGTCTCGGTGGCCCCGTGGCAGTTGGGCCACAGGAAGCTGGGTCTCCCCAGCTGCCCTTCTCTGTCTCCAGGACAAATACACTGATTGGAACCAACCACAAGCATAGATTAATGCAGTTCCTCTGAATAAGCCATATGATGGCACCCATTGAGTGCCGTTCCTTTCAATACTGACTCTTTTCAAGTCATGGCGAGCCACTATATTGCATCCATTTCAACTTCCTCTGCATTCCCACAGCGGAGCTGCACCTTTCTTTCCCATTCCCAGTGATTCCTGTTTCTTCACCAGCCTTAAATTTCTGGCAAACGTCACCAAATGGTGCCACAAACAGTTCACCCAGAATCCTTCTATTGCTCCCTCTCTTGTCCTGTTGCATATGATTAGTATGGCCCCGCCCTCCATGATGTGAAGCCAGATTGGGTTCCCCTGTGCCTGATCTGCATATAATTTTTTGGAGGCTCCCATGATTTGTGTCACAAGCATCTGATTTCAGTCCGGGGGAGGGCTTATTGGCACATGTACTCCAGATCCCCTCAAAAGGATTTGTGTTAGCCCTTTAGTGCTACTATACACACATACTGGGCAGTGCTGAGCTGTGGAGTCACCATGGCTTGCAATCCTATCAACTCTGGTGGGACCCAGCCCAACAAATTATGTAGGGGTCTACAGAGATGCAGGTTGTAGCTGTACTGGTCTACAGGCAAAATGAATCTGAAATCGTGGTAGAGGTGATAGCTTTTATTAGACCAGCTAGATATTTCCAAAGCAAATCTTTATTTGTAAGCTTTTGGGCACACTTGCCCTTCTTCAGTCACAGGAGAATGTGAAGACTGTAAAATTTCTCCTAGGTGGAAATAAAACTTTATATTTCACAGGAGAGCTGAAGGTGTTATAAGGTCTCCTGGTTGGAATAATTCATTTTGTGCAAATTAGGCTCAGATAAAAGTTAGAACAGTCTATGTACCTCTATGTCTGGTGTCAAGCAGGAAGTTGAAGTATGTTTCTGTTTGGTTATGATATTTCACAGGAGGAGGAGGATAGATGCTCCTCTGGGCAGGAAATTCTCCTGTGTTGAGGCACTTTGAGCTCTGTGAACATGCAGACTGAGCTAGAACAATAGGTCAGGAGCCAGGGTGTCAGCTTTCAGGTTGTTCCAAGGTGTTGAATTAACTTCGTAATTTTACAAGACAAAATCATTAATTAAAAAAATGGCTATAATACAGTATCTTCCATGTTTCAGGGATACAGGTTGTAGCTGTGTGTGTGTGTGTGTGTGTGTGGTGTGGCGGTGTGTGTGTGTGTGTGTGTGTGTGTGTGTGTGTGTGTGTGTGTGTGTGTGTGTGTGACATTTGTCCTGGGGGGGGGATGAAAATTCAATCTTTGCATTCTCCTATGCCTGAGGGAGGGTGAGTGAGCCCAAAAGCTTGTATACAAAGACATTTTTTTGCAAATACCTAGTTGGTCTAATAAAAGATATCACCTCTGCCACGAGTTCTGATTCCATGTAGGGGTCTACTGATCTTGAGGCCGGGTGCCAACCGTTTTCATGGGTGGAGCATGGTGCACCCTCCGCCCCACCCCCAATGCCTGTGGCTGAGGGACCCCAGTGGTCCCAACCCGCTGCTGATTTGGGGTGAGAGGTGGGAACATATGATAGATGCCCTCACAGTCAATCATTGGTGAGGGGTAGGGGCGGAAGCAGTCTTGCCATGCCAGCAGCCCCCCTCCCACCTTTCCCTGCCCCGGCAGGCTATGCAGGTGGGCCACAGTAGCAACAAGGACTGCTGGTTCTTCAGAGGGAGCCAACATTTTATTTTCACTGAGGTGTTTGGTTTTTTGTTTGGTTTTGGGGGTTATTTGTTTGTTTATTTTCGGGGAGCCCACCAAAAGGATGGACCTTATGCTTTACTGCAGAGCCTGTGCTTTTCAGCGGGGCCTGCCCAAAATTACTATTTCCTTGAAAATTGCAGAATCGTGATATCTGTACATTCCTAATTATATGGTAAATCATGGACTAATATCATGTACAGTGGGCACATCTACATGAGATGTTTATTGTGGAGTTGCCTAATTGGCTCTGGAATAAACATCTCAGCATCTACACATGTAGTGCTATTAGGATGGAGTAAATTAACTCCACCTTAGGTTAGTACTTGTAAACACAAGTACTATCCTTTGGCAGAGATCTCCACTCTGCAGCAGCACATGTGTAGATGGTGATGGGGCTGGATGGGACACAAGGGCGCTTTGGTGCGGGGACTGCCTGCTGGCTAGCCTCACATTGTAGCGCATTTGTCCTGTAGTGAGCCCCTCTACAGTACATTGAGCTAGGTTGGAGCAGCCACAGGCTGGCAGGCTGACCCTGGGGATCTCTTGCCAGCCAGGGTTGCTATGACCTGGCTTAAGGTGCTGCAGTCCCAGGCACACGCTCCTGGTATCCACATTTGAACAATAAACTCCAGCACAATATGTGTTGGAGGTTATTGCTACACATTACTTGCATGTGTAGATGCACCCGGTTTGTACTATATAGAAGTAGGTGCTAAAGTGCTTCTTAAAAGTATGTTTATGGAACACCGGTACAAAAATTTGCAAAAGTTTTTTTGGTTTTTTTTAAAGTAATATGAATGAATTCTAGATGAACTGAAGTCTATGGGTACTATATTTAGATTACTACAGCCATGTTTAATTTTAAGGTTGGTGTTTTCAAATTTGCATGTACTCGGGGAGAGCAGGTTCTGACAGCAAGAAGAGGAGGAAGAAGCTGGCTGAGGAAAAATATAGGGGGAACCAGAGGGCAGAAGGGCTACCTGATCCCTCCAGATTTATTTTCCTTGCTATAGCAATGTGGGGAAGGGAGGGGGACAAATACAAAGCAAACCACCAATAATTAGATTGTGTACTTGGAAAATTATAACATTTATACATTTTCCATATATAGAATCTAATTATTCAGGGGTTATCTTATAAGCAGGGTCATCTTATATTCAAATAAATACAGTGATAGCTGTATGTAGTACAAGCAGAAGGCCCAGAGAGGAATTTGGAAGTTTAAGGAGGCCTTATCTGAGTGTTGCTTACCAGCCCCTTCAAAACTAGCAGGAGTTCCCAAAGGTGTTAAAAAGAGATAGATAGGCTTAAACATATTTGCAAGTGTTACTTTGGCACTCTTCTATTGCCCTGTGCTAAACGACATTAAATATCAGTAGGGGAAAAGAAAGATTTATATTGTATATAAAAATGTGTGTTGTTTAAGTATCAGGGTGTACTAATTAAAGGTGCTCTATCAACACTTCAGCTTTTGGAATTAAAACAGAAAACAGTGCACACACCATTGCCCCCTGTAAAGGCAGTCTTATGCTGAGTAAACAGTTGCTCCTTCTAGCTGGTGAGTGCGTATGTGTCTGCTCACTTTGAAGGTAGGTTGTCAAGCGCTCAGTGCTGACCCCGTCTACTCTAATTGGACTTGGTGATATAGCTCACAATGATATCATTGGTAACAGAATTATTGAAATGCTGAAAACTTTGAAAATCCCTCCCATATGTTTGTTTGTGATATGTACAGTATAAGAACCCAAAGATTTTTGTTTGGTGGTTTTTTGTTGTTGTTTTTAAATGGAATACAAAAAGCAGTAAAGTTCTTTTTGGTTTTTTTTTAAACAACAGATTCAGAATTGGAAGAAAGCAGTAAACTAATGTTTTGAATTTCCTTTACTGTTGCACTAGGTTCAGGATGTTGTTCCTATCACAAGCTATGATACTGCTGGATCTTTCTTGCTGTTGGGTTGTAACAATGGCTCTATCTATTACATAGGTAAGAACAAAAACATTACAAGATATTAAGATTGTATTGTTCCATATTTCTGCCAATCAACAGTTATTCTTAACAGAAATAAAATCTTATGAAGGGATGAAGTGGTTTTCAAATCGATTTCTAAATTTTTGCTCTTTGACTGTCCATAATACCTCTCTTTTGATAGACATGCAGAAGTTTCCCTTGCGAATGAAGGATAATGATCTGCTGGTGACAGAACTTTACCATGATCCCTCCAATGATGCTATTACAGCGCTCAGTGTCTACCTCACACCCAAAACAAGTTTGTATAAAACTTCAATTTGTATTATACTTCTCTGAAGGTCAACGAACAGTAAGGTTTCAGTAGCGCATATTTTAAGAATATTTCAGTTTTAAACAGCAGTTGCAGTGCCACGTTTATAAAGATTTGCTTATTCCATTAAAAAAACAAACCTGTGTTTTAGACTTACTTAGGCAGACAAGGTTCCTTGGGTGAATTTGATATCTTTTATTAGACCAGCCCAAATGGTTGGAGAATAGTTATTAAGCAAGCTTTCGGGTTCAAAAACCTTTCGTCAGGCTAAGGAAGCTTCAGCAGTTGGTGTGTGCTCTTCCTGGATGGCCTAACGAAGGGTTTTTGAACCCGAAAGCTTGCTTAATAACTATTCTCCAACCATTTGGGTTGGTCTAATAAAAGAGATCAAATTCACCCAAGGAACCTTGTCTGCCTGTGTCCTTAGACCAACACGGCTACAACCTAAACCCCTAAACTTACTTACACTTTCATGTCACCTGTATTATTATGTAAACTGTCATTTTGAGTGAGAATTTTTCTTAATTAAAAGAAATTCATTACGGTATTCTAGGATTTGGAATGTCCAAATATTATTGCTCCTGATCAAGATGGATTCATTCCCAGACCCATTTATGCAAATATTCATAGTATGAAACTCTTCTTTAGCAGTCTTGTTAGTCCTTCCTTCCTTTTTTTTTAAGACTCAATGTTCTTGTAACATCGTGTGGGTATGCTGACTGCATCCTACATGTCTCTCTTTTTTTTTTCTTTTCCCCAGCATGGTCAGATTGTGCCAAAGTTGCTTGCTGGGAATCTGTATGCAGGCATGAAAGGTCAATAAAACCTTCAAAACATGGGTTCAGACCAGAGGGTACTAACAACCTTTGCAATTTGGGGTTGCTTTTCTGCTCCTGTGCATGCTGAGCAGATGGCATGGTCCACAGCAAAGAAAAAAATATCTACTAAATGGCTATAGACAAAAGGGCATCTTATTTGGAAATAATACTTCAGCACTGATATATTTCACATGCACCACTGAGGTTTGCATTCTTCTCTCTCTTGTTAAGTGTTACAAGAAATCATGTCAGTAACAACACAAGTTTAATCTGTGTAAGTTACTATTTATAAATGTTTGGAAAATAATTGTTTTGTTTTGGTTTTTTCAAATGGGGCTAGGTGGTATGTCAGGAAAGATTTTGTTTCTTTTCCATAACTGTATTTATGATGCAACTGAGAGGGAAGAAAAGCTTGAATGACAGATTAGTCTTGCTGTTTTTCACTCTGAAAAACCCAGAAAGACTGCTTTGATGGTCTTACCATAGACCATCTGCATGATGGTCTGATTTGTTCTCTTCCCTCCCATCTCTTTTTTTGTTTTTGTTTTTTTTGAGGAGGGGCAGGGAACCAATGCAGGAGGTACTGGGGTACATACTATACAATAGTAGATGGCGAATGATTGCCTTGGAAGTAAGCTCACTGACTTTGTGACAATTTCAAAAATGTTTAAGTTCATTAGTTAGGAGTGCTAAAATAGTTACTTACATCAGTACAATGAATAATGTTTTACCTCTTTAAAAGGAAATGTTGGTTTTCAGAAGACATTTCTGTGGTTGTTCCTGTTGTAGGTGTAAGTGGCAATTGGATTGAGATTGCATATGGCACCAGCTCTGGAGCAGTGAGAGTGATTGTACAGCACCCTGAAACAGTTGGGTCCGGCCCTCAGCTTTTTCAGACTTTCACAGTTCATCGAAGTCCTGTTACAAAGATCATGCTCTCCGAGAAGCACCTTGTGTCAGGTAATCTTGTTTACCTGCACATATGCACATGGATTACTTTTTTCTGCCTTTTTCATTTCTTAGCATAGTCATGAATTCTTTCCTTTTCCTTGGACTCCTATTAGTTTGAATTTGCTAACTCCTTATTAAACGTAAAGGGAAAACTTCTACATGAGCACATTAGGGCAAAAACAGCTATTAAAACAATGAATGGAACTGAGAAGATTAAGTGTGTTGAAGATTCGGTTGAATATATTATTGTTGCAATGCATCCCATTTTGGCATCTATAAGCAGTGAAAATAGGGTTGAAATGATTTATATGCTTGTCCTGGTCTTTAAGTTCTTCAAGATGCAATATATTTTACAAATATTTAATATCACATTTGCAGTAACTTGTAATTTCCTTCACAGAGAGAAATACAAAAGCTGCATAATTAGATACTAATTTCTGTAAACAGCAGCAAGATATGGGTTAATTAACCTCCTTCTCTATATATTGCAGGGTGTTGGTGGTGGTAGTTCTACGTATAGCTGTAAATCTCTACTGAAATAAATCTGAGCAGAGACAGCCGTCATATGGATAGAGAACTGTAAAACAGTTGGACTGCTTTGCATCATCTTATCCATAGCACTATATTTAATTTTGTTTCATTAAAGAAAGGCAAGAAAATTTCTAAGAGGACTTGTTCATGCATAAATCCTTAGAGTAAATGCACTAAATGTGTTTTGTATGAATAGTTTCATGTTCAGATGAACTTGCACACACATTTGAAGGTATTTATATCAGTTCTCGACCTCTTGAAGGCTCAGATCATGTGCTGTAAAGCAGGCAATTTTGAAGACTAATTTATATTAAAGAATGTTGTTAATACTGAATTTTTAAGCCAGAAGGGATCTCTGGGATCATCTAGTCTGATATGCCCAAGGCAGGTTAAAGAACCTCACGCAGTAAAGACTTGGTTGCATGTTATACTCAAGACTTGTTTTATTTAGATCATAGTAAGCATTACTATGAGTTAGAAAGCTGTCTGACCAGTGTTATGGTAATGCTTGCTACAATATAAATAAAATGTATTGTAAGCCCTGGAGTCCTTGAAGACTGCTGCACTGCAGTGTATGGTTGCCAGGCCTGGGAACATCAGACAGTGTTGCAGTCTGCCCCCCACACCAGTCTCTCCTCATTGTATTACATGTTAGGTAATATATTTTGGAGATACTCCTTGACAGAGAAGTCGTAACTTTGCTATGCTATAATGGCACTTAGCATGTGTTTTACTGCTTGAACACTCAGCTGCTTGTATTTTAAGTGCAGTTAGCACATTCCTGGGCCCTAATTTGAAGAGTGACGGAGATTATTCTTAACTGTGGTGTAAAAAATACTGGCAAACTCAGAACTGTGAGTTAGAGCAGTGGGGACCAACCTTTTCAGCCAGCGTGCAAAAATGTAAGCTCTGCACCATCCGTGAGTGCTATTTGGGTGCCCTTTCCCTGCCTTATTTGCTGCTCTGCTTTGTGCTCCATGCCTTATCTGCCAGCGTGCTGCCTGCTCCCTCTCCGATCTGCTGTGTGCTACAAACAGAGGCTGCCCATACCACTTGTGGCACATGTGCTTCTGACCTCGCTTAAATTAGAGCATCCATCTCTTTCTGAAAGACATACATTTGGATTTAAAGGTTCCAAATGGTGGAAAATTAACTAGTGAATCAGCTTGCCAAATGAAATGGTATTCACTGTGTTCTTTGTATTTCAGTGTAGTCTCTTAAATCATTTCAGAAACAGCCACAAGCAGATATGAAAAACTATAGCAACACTATGATAGATTGTTCTCTTTGTTGACTAAAAGCTCATAACAGCCATGCAGGATGGATAGATATGGACTGTTTTACAGCCCAAAACAAACCAAAGGTTAAAAGTCAGGACTTGCACAGTACAACCAGTGTGCGTAGGATAAGTCTGGGCTTTTTTCAAATGTGTTTAACTTTATTCATAGTCCCTGTCTCAACATCATACTGATTTTGCTAAATCATTTTTATTCAGATATCAAAACGACGATTACTCATGATCACCTTTTTTTCATGTTTTCAATCAAATCATTGTTTTCTGCATTTTTATATACCTATCCCAACCAAGATTCTTCCTAATTTGAAAACAAGCACATATGCTATTTTTGGAGTTTCTAGCCCTTTACAATTGTGGAGAACAATAGTTGGAATTGTTTAAATGTTGTTTGCCTGAGCCTGGTTTGCGCACTTTTTTTTGTATTGATAAAACTTTTGGTTAAAGCTGTGACTTTTTTTTTTTTTTTTCCCTCTCTCTTATCTGCTAAAATCATTACATTTGTTTCCCCTAGTATGGACACAGTTGCATTGATATAAAAGTGTCTCATAGTGACAGTTTATTCTGCTAAGCTAAATAGCTATAGGCACCTTGTGTAACTGCCAGCAACAAGGACATTGTATTGAATTAATGACAAATGTATTATGTAGTACACATTGTTTGTATAGACAAACCTAAAGTCAGTGTGAGAGCCTCCAAAAGATGTGAACTTTGTATTAAAATGGAATAAAAACCATTCTTTAATTATGACAATATGTTTATCAATATAAAACTTTTGCTGATGGATTTATTTTAGCAATGATGTCTGTCCAAGAATTCAAATTTCCTTTCATGCTTGCTTTGCCTACAGAGCCCTTCTCCAGCTGTCAACACCCAGTTTCTTGCCCCTAACTACACAATATAGGTTTTGAATACAAAAAAATCTGGAGCACAGCACAGGTTTAAAATACAGGGACAGTGTACAGTAAAATTGGTTTAATACTGCACATAACATATGGACTTGAACAAGTCTTTACTCTTTTTAATTGCTTTTAATTTGAAGCTCCTTCAGCATTTCTAGTCTCCTGCTCCAGAGTTGTTGTAGTAGTAGTACTACTACTACTACTAATAGTAAAAGAGAGACTTTTTCCTGCAGAATTTAAATGCAGTTTTCCAGAGATTAAAGAGGTATTTGTTTGTAAAAGCAAAACTTCCAGTCCAGCTGATTTGCAGTAGGCCATGAAAACTTTTTTGCCTAAGTGTTACTGGTTGAAATCTAGCCCATGTCAGTAGTAACTGAGATTTGGTTATATCTGGTCATTAGCCAATGTGAAATGTATTTGGAGAGAGGATTTTTTTTTTTCCAAGGAGCAAAGTGTCAATATTGCAAAAACACTATTACTTGCAGCCAACATGCTTGTTTGCAATTTCTGCAGATGACTAAAGGCACAGAGAGACTGAACTACACTTTCACGTATAGATAAGTGAGGCCTGTTGACAGCATGGTGTTTAAGAGGCTACAGTGCAGCTGCTTGCACTGTATTTGATTTGTGGATTGGATTTTGAGGCACTTCAGACTAGATTTTTGTTCAGCTAGTATGGGATTGCGGTTGCGTTGATATTGTAGCTCCTCAAGTGATTAAATAAAGGATTAATTGTCAATTGAAATGAAGCATGAGGAGTCATCCAGCCTATAACTGGATGGGAGGGTGGGAGAATGAGAGGTTGGTCCACCACTTTCTCTGCTGAGATCTTTTCACATCAATATCATATTCAGTTCATACTGCTGGAGGAGAATAATGCAAGTGAGTCAGAGTAGCCACTAGCGCTGCTTAGCTAAGGAGCCAAGAACAGTAGATGAGATGGGAAGGTAAGAAGAGTGATTGATTTAAAAATGTAAGATGACAATTTTAAGAATCTTTAATGAATTTTGCTTTCTAGCTCACTGAAATATAATATGAAACTTAATATCAGCCATTCTACAAATGCTTCTTAAAAACCTTCCATTGCAGTATTTGTTATGCTTTGTGAGAGTAGGAGAGAGCAGGACAAAAATTTTCGAGCCTGAGAAATGTGAAGAAAGCTTGCAAGTAGAGATCATCGCTTGAACCCCGTGTGATGCTGATTTAGTGTAAGACCTAATGGCTTTGGTAATAGCCTGAAAGTTTATAGCTTATAAATTCAAAGGTCTGCTTAAAAAAACAAAAAAGGAAGAATTAAACCCAAAAGTTTCTTTCTTGGAAAGAATCCCATGTCTTTACTCTCTTCTTTTCTGTTTTTTTTTTCTAGTTTGCGCTGATAACAACCATGTTCGGACATGGACTGTTACTCGTTTCAGAGGAATGATTTCGACACAGCCAGGTTCTACTCCCTTGGCTTCATTCAAAATCTTGTCACTGGAGGAAACAGAGAGCCATGGCAGTTACTCTTCTGGAAATGACATAGGTAGGCCGATATATTTCTCCATTACTGCATACTGGACTTTTGGAGTGCTGCTGTGCTTGGGGAGATGCATTGAAATTCAGTTGGGGGTCCCTGGTCTTAATTGTATTCTCATTTTAATACGGGCATCACTGACACTGGCATCAGTAAAGTGGCTGTGATTCTCAGTAGTTACAGTTACAGGAGAGTCAGATCAGCTTGCCTCTTAAATGTTGTAGTGTTTCTTATATTTCTCATTGAAAATTAATTCCTAGTAAGGGTGGGTAAAGTCACGTTGACTTTTTTTTTTTTTTGCTTTGCCCATTTCCATTAAATGATGCAAACTGTTTGCCTGTTTTTCTGGCTTATACCTTACTTTCCTGAAATGATTATCTAAACCAGTGGGTCTCAAACTTTTTAGACTCAAGGTACCCCTCCATAGCTATTTAAAAAAAAAATAATTTTTTTTTATAAGTTCTGTAGGTCTGACTTCAAACAGGCTCCCCCCTTCCCCAGATGTATTTGTATGTCCCCGTTAGCACTTAAGAGAGCTCAGTAAGACTAAAACAAAAATTGAATTCTAGAAGAATGATTGTATCAATGGGCAGATCCAGGTTTTTGTATAACTGAGTGTAGGAGCAATGGCCATACCCCCACTTAATGCTTCTCCCCACAATAACCTGCCTTGGGACGGGCAGACGATACCACGGGAGCTGCAGCTGGGGACTTTTTAAAAAAAGGAAGTCTCAATTGGGTTAGAATCTCTTCCCCTCCCCTCCTGTTCACTCTCTTCCCCACTGCCCTATACAAGTTGCTTTGTGGTGGAGTGTTACTGGGGACAGCAGTGATGAGTGGATTTCCCCCTCCCTGAGCCTGCTGCCAGGCTGGCAAGAAACACCCAGGGGGATGGAGCAGGGAGAAGTAACCCACCCACTGCTGCTGCTGTCCCAGGCAGGAGCAGCTGTGGACCTCCCTCTCTCAGAGCGCAGCCAGAGACAGTAGCTGTGGTGGGCAGGGGAAGGAGGGAAAGGGACAGGATATGCTGTTGAGCATGGCAACAGAATTCTTACCGGACTTGGGTCCCCAGCTGCTACTACTGCAGAGTGGTCCAAAAAGATGGTATCACTGCACTCACTGTGAATTTGCCCCTAGGTGTTTTAGTAATAGTTGCATCTAGAGGTGCACTGATATATTGGTCCATATTATATCAGCACTGATAAAACGAAAATTGATATTATTGGCAGTCGGCTTTTTTTGGCCAGTGTAGCTGATTAATGTCATCTACTTTAAATGCTGCATGCGTGTGCACAGCCACAGCACGCATACAGCCAAGAATGCAGCCAGGCAGCTTGGAGAGCAGAGTCTGGCCGGTAAGTGTGTGGGGGGATAGGGGTGTGAGGGGGGCAGATGAAGGTCCCATGGTGAGGGAGGGAGTGATGCTGAGACTGGGGCAGGTGGCCAGCCGGGGTGGGGCGGGGCACAGGATGGAGCCACTGGTGATTTGTATGGGGGGAGTGGAGGGGACAGCTCCCGCAACTGTGCACAGCCCCACATATGTGCACAGGGTGGGCGCAGGCTGCCTACTGTGGGTTCAAGGCCAGGGGGCTGCACCAGCCTCTTCCTGGCAGGGGGTCTGGGCTGGGGTTGCAATCGGGCTAGGCAGCGTGGGCAGAAGCAGCGCCGGGAGGGGTGGTTATGAGGTGGGCTTACAGCTACCCCAGAATTCACCATAGCTCTCCTCCCAGCCCCACTGCTGCCACCTGCCCCAAGCCCAGAGCAGGCAGCCCGCCCTTGCCCCACGCACAAATCTGGGGGGCACATGCTTCCTGTGCCTCCTCCAAGGGTATATGCAGTGGGAGGAGCTGTCCCCTCTCCACGTGCCCCCGGACGAGCTGTCTGCGGCTCCGTCCTCCCCCGGCTGGGCAGCACCTGCTTCTGCCCCAGCCCCACTCCCACCCTCATCGTTGGGGCCTCAATCTGCACCCCCACACCCTTCCCTCCCCTTGACAGTCTTACTGGCCAGACGCTGCTTTCCAAGCTGCCGGGCTGCATATTGGCCAATTTATGGCTGGTTAATAATCAACCATTGGTATCAGCCCAAAAAATCTTTATCGGTGCACCCCTAGTTGCATCTGTATCATATTACAGAGTCCATCACTTTCTTATTATATGTAATGTTTTATTAACCCTTCTTAAAGTAAAGGTGTAACAAAATGTAACAATTTAAAGAGAGGTCTGTGCAGCCTGAGGCTGTGCTGTGTTAAACCTGCTCCAAGTGCCTGAACTCCTAAAGCTGAAGCAGTATAGCCACACACAGGCAGAGCTTACTGGCATGCATGTAGCACGTATGTAGTTTGGGAGTTAATCCTTTCAGACCAGGCATGTGATATGGGCCCAGCGCACACATCCACGTGGCTAACTTGCTTCTTTGCGGTTCAGAATTAGGCAAAACTGAACACCTCTCCTGTTGGGTTTCTTCAGGTTAGTATTCCATAATTACACAGCACAATACAAAAGCACTGTTTTGTCTGCTAAAGTGCAAATCAGCATAGACTCCAGAATGCGTGTGATTTTAATATGATTCCAGATTCTTGTAAGATGTCTAAATATAGGAAATAGGCAGACAAGGTTCTCTGGCTAGATGTGGTTATCTTTTATTAGACAAACTAAACAGTTGGAAAAATTGTTCTTTGCAAGTTTTGGGGTACAAATGCCCTTCTTCAGGCTTAGGGAAAGTCTGTTGGTGTATGTCTGCCTTCCTGGGTAGAATAGGAATCAAGATCCAGGAAAGCACACAAACACCAACAGACGTTTTCTCTGTCCAAGAAGAAGGGTGTTTGTGCCTGAAAGCTTGCAAAGAACAATTTTTCCAACTATTTAGTTTGTCTAATAAAAGATACCACATCTACCCAAAGAACCTTGTTTGCCGATGTCCTTAGAACAACACAGCTACAACCAACAACCTTAAATATAGGAAAGTGATTTTTATTTCTATTAAATGTTGAAGGAATGTGTTTTAAAATGCATACTTCTCTTTCTAACTCCAGGACCATTTGGAGAGCGTGATGATCAACAGGTGTTCATTCAGAAAGTTGTTCCCATCACTAATAAGCTTTTTGTGCGGTTATCTTCTACAGGAAAAAGGTAATTACCACAGCTCTGCTTTCAAGCAGTTGTTTGTTTATTATGGCTACCTGGTGCAGCTCACCTAAAATCCATTTGCTGTACTTTGCATGCATGTATAAAATAATATGTATACACGTGCACACATTTAGGCATGTGTGCATGTATATACAGCTATACCAAGAACTGACAAGGTTTCTCTAATATCAAATGCAAGTATCAGATCACAGACAAGATTTTTCTTGTTCTGTGGTTGCAGGACAACTAGCATAATCACAAGTTACCTTAAAATAGTTGTCCAGTGACTATAAAAACAGTGATATATCTATACATACATATTTACAATGATGGCCTTATTGGTAGCTTTCACTTTCTGTAACTGAAACTCTCAGTTTTTTGGGAAAAAAAATACCAAGTAGTACAAAAAAGTAAAAGTACTGCTGAGAGAGAATTTTTAAATTATTTGTAACAAAAGCAAGGCCAAAGACCTGGAACATTTTATTATTTGAATAAGACCTTGAGTCAAACTAGTTGTCACAATATTAAATAACTTGCGATTAGGTTTTTCTTTCTTATTCTGTGTTCCAAAATAACCCTTCCCCATTCACATGGATAGGAAAACAGGACTCCAGGTTCTCTTTACAACAGTCACGCCAATTTAATGTATCTGTGGGCTGTTCAAAGTCATTTGTAAAACAGATATACTTGCCTCAAGGAGATTTTGTCTGTCTTGATCTTTGTCAAGTGCTTCATTTTTCTTTGGACAAAAGGAGCTAAATAAAGACATTAAAATCAATTTGTATTGTACTTGTATTGCAACAGTAAAATTGTGTTACGACCAAAGTGTAATTTTCAGTCTTCCCAGTAGATGTTAAATTATGTTGCTGATTTTGGAGTCACTTTTTTTTGTGTTCTCCTATATGCTTCTGTACAACACCACCTTTTGTAATAAGTAAATAGATTATACGCTTCCTTTTTAAACCACATAAAATGCCAGTGATGGGGTGGCAATATCCCAGGTGCTTTTGAAATCCCTGGCTATTATTTGAAGAAGATAGACCGGGTTTTAAATTGAAACTACTGATGCCATCTCTCTCTGTTAGTAATGATTCACTGTACCTACGATATGACACATCATTTCTTAATTGCTTAATCTTGTAATGAGTGAAACTCTTCAGAAGAATCAATCTTTTGCATCATAGTTCATTACATAAACTCATAAGCAACTCTTAAAAGAATTAGGGGATTACATTTTCTGTGCATCCAGGCTAGCTGTGTGACAGCTTGTTTAGTTTTTTTTTTTTTTTTAAAGTAAATAACATTAGAAAGCTGGTAATATGTTTGGAGGCCAAGTAATCTTCCCAATAAGTGTTCTAAATCTCTGTGATTTAGTGTTATACACATGCAATGAAGAAACTGCCAAATGTTTATTAAAATTAATGTTATATTAGGGTAAATTTTAGCAAAGTAATAATTCAAAACCCACTTCAGATCTGACCTGGTCTTGTTCCCTGCCCTCTTGTATTAATGTAGACACTGTGTGCTTTTACTTCTAATCAACCTGTGCTTCTGCTTGATAACTTTAAGCCTGAAATGTTGATGCCATCAGTAGTAATTCTGAGGAAAGAAAAGAAAAAGGAATTGGGTAATCTTGTCACTTTTTCTTCTCTCTGATCCTTAACCAAAAAAGAGATTTTTTTTTTTCTGTACAAATGGCCTATTTCCTTTGTTTAGTCAGTTTGAAAGTGAGGTATTGAGGTTTTTTACTTGCATTTAAACTTTTCTAAGGGCCAAATGCAGGCATAAAATGTGCATTAGGGACAGACTGGATGACCCAAATACTGCTCACTCTGGACTATTGCGGTAGAACCAAAATTTTTAGCTTAACTTCTGTCACTTTTTAAACAAATATACTGTTTTTGTGCATGGTCTCAAAGCCAGTATTGGAGATTTAAGGATTGTGCTACTCCAGTGAGATCAGCACTTGTACAAGTGAATCTAGAAGTCTGTAGCTCAGATTCCTTTAAAACTAGTAAATTCATGAGCTGTATTGGGCGCTCTGTGCATCCCTCTCAAATTGGAATGGGGAAAAGTGGGCGAGAGACCCAAGGTTGACAGAGAACTTTTGCAGTTCACTGAAACTTAAGGATGAAAGTCCATTATCCCATAAAACAAACCATAGCTCCTCCCAGCCATAGTTTAATTCTTTTAATAAAAAAACTAAGCCTTAATCACCTCCTAAGGTATAGTAGACTTATTTCACAGATGTCCAACCATTAGCTCTTAGTATTGCTACTATTGTGTTTAAACGTTGGTTGTTTCTGTTTTTGTTCGTAGAATCTGTGAGATCCAGGCAGTAGACTGTACTACAATTTCATCATTTACTGTAAGAGAATGTGAAGGATCCAGTAGGATGGGCTCAAGGCCACGTCGCTACCTCTTCACAGGCCATGCAAATGGCAGCATTCAGATGTGGGATCTGACCACAGCCATGGACATGGTTAATAAAAGTGAAGACAAGGGTAGGGTGCAGTGTAATGGAACTTACATTTTTTTCAGTTGGAATGCTAGTGTTAGATGTGATGGGTGATCAGTATCTCTCTCTCCCCTAAGATATAGGGGGTCCAACAGAAGAAGAGCTGCTTAAGTTGCTTGATCAGTGTGATCTGAGCACGTCTCGCTGTGCCACTCCTAACATCAGTCCAGCCACTTCAGTGGTTCAGCAAAACCGTCTGCGGGAATCAAATTCCAGGTAAGCCAGAGTTCCCTGTTGCACACTGTAAGGTGAATAGAGCCAAGGTTGGAGCTCGGACTTTCAAACTTCAGCATTTGATCTCTCTTTACATCTAACTTTCACTTTGGTTCCTTTAAACAAGTGCCCTGATTTTTTTTTTTTTTTTGCAAGGCAAGCGTACCTCTAGCTCCTATTAAATTTGTATGTTCACCGCTCGAGGACTGAGTGAGACCTTGCTTGTGGATATCAACAAATTGGATGTTCCAAGAAAATGTTACTTCCAACACTAGGACAAACACAGCTGAGTTTGTTTGGAAATGAACAGCTCTGAAATATTCCCAATTAGGAACATCCTTTATAAGTCACATTTTTCTTTGGTTAGAAGGCATTCAGCTGATAGGATACAAGTCTCCAAGTGTTTAGAAACTTTTCCCTTACATCCATGTTGCTCAATCTTTATTCCCCAGCAGGCCAGATGGACAGTGCTCAGTACGTCCGTAGGCCAGATCTGGCCAGTGGCCCTGATCCAGCTTCTGGGGCAGGCACTGGGGAGCTCTTCATGGTCACATGGAGGGGGGGCAAGGAACAGCCCAGCCCCGATTCAGCTGCATAGGGGAAGGGCGTGTGGCCTGACACCAATTTGACCATACAGGGGAGAGGGGGTGTGGGAATTTGGCAGCAGAAAGGGTGGCAGTGTTAATTGCCCCTGTTTCCCTACTGTCAAATTTCCCAACCTGTGGGGAGCCCTATAGACCAGATGCCATGGCTCCACAGGCTGCATTTGGTCCATAAGCCAGAGGTCTAGCACTCCTACCTTATGTAAATGACTGATTGCCATGGATCACACAAATATATACTCTGTTAACGACCGAGAATCCAGGCCAAGTAGCTTCCTGTGCGTTTTTACCCTCTCCTTTGCAAGCAGTCTCTCACCTCTTGAAAATTAAGCTGAAATGTGAGAAATTTGAAAGTGATGTTTGCTAGTATCAGTATGTGTTGTGACTAATAGACCAAACTGTTTACTGTCAAATGTATTTTCAGTCTCCAGTTACAACATCACGAAACCATCCATGAAACTGCTACATATGGCTCAGTGAGGCCATATAGAGAGAGTCCTTTGTTAGCCAGGGCAAGGCGGACTGAGAGTTTTCACAGCTACAGGGATTTTCAGACTTTCAATCTAAACAAAAGTATGGTGGACAAAGCTGTCCCTGAGAATGGCAATCTGAGTCCACTACAAGCTGAACCGAAGAAGATTGCAGGTGACAGCAATGGAACTGATAGAAAGGCAGCAGTACTTGAAGTAAGAGCTGCTAGAACATCAGATGGTGGAACAGAGGTTCAGAAAATGCCTGAAAGCACTTTGGAATTGAAGAAGAGAGGAACAGATGATGAATGTGAAACCCGCTCAGAGAATAAAAAGAAGATTGGATTTGAAGGAGGAGGGTTCCTGGGGAGAAAGAAGGTGCCTCTTTTGGCATCTTCACCAATCATTGTGGAAGGAGGCCCTGAATCACCTGGTACAGCATCCCCATCACCTACAAAGGCTACCACTTCTCCACGGCACAAGAAAAATGACTCCTCCTGCCAAGACTATAGCTTGTGAAAATGCTGTTCATGGTGCACGTTTGCTTGCAAGAATTCAAATGAAAGTTTAACACTAAACTGGATGCTGTTTTTACACTACAAATTTAACAGGTTTAATTTTGGTGTCTTTAACTGAAAGAATTAAAACTGGACTAAGGCTAAACTGAGATTTAATTTGTTTTTCTAAAACAACTACATTGGTTTACAGTACAAACAACAAACACTTTTAGAAGTACTTTAAATCTGTTTGGCTTTATATAACAATATGAAAATGAAGTACAGTACTTGGTACAAAATATAGATGTAAAATCCTATTTAATGAAGTCCAGCATGCACTACAGTGTTTGTCGTGGGGAGAGCTTTCTAGTGTGGGTAACTTTCTGATTACTATTACTTGACCTTTCCCCTTGCAAGCACCAGAATATTAAATGCTTGTCACCTGCTTAATAGTCTTAAAGCTATGTATTCACATTGTTTGCAGTTGTGAGGCCGCCCACCTTGCTCATTTTGACCTTTTAAAAATTTGATCTGATAGAAAATGAATTGATAGAAAGCTGCTGTTGCTGGAGTTTGCCTTGTTTGAAGCGCCACAATTATTTTTTCAGTATTAAGAAATTTGACATATTTTAACTTTATATGCTGTCTTGTTAAGCTTACAGATGCTGTAAAAACATAATTTTGCATATATTTGTTCTAATATTAAAGCGCAAAGGAAGTAATTGGTGGTTGAGTATTGGGTGTTTTATATTTTTCTCCTTTTTATTCTTCCAGACAGTTTTGAAATATAAAATGTAACCTATTGGTATGGAAAAGCTTACATTTTGCTCCATATAATACTAAGAAATGAAGTAGTCATTCCTTCATAAGCCGTTCACACTCACCTTTTTATTAAAACGGCTGCTGAACATCGGTGATTACTGTGCTTTCCCTATCATGAGCAAACATTTTCAGATGGCAAGCCCCAGATGCTAGGTTGAGGTTCCCCACCCACCCATTTTTATTTTATGGTGTTAAGCAAAAAAACAAAACAAAGCATGCATGGAACATGCATACACATACATATGCATGCAATACTTTCCATACAACAAAGCTGTATGGAAAGTATCCTTTTCACTTGATAGTTCCCCTTTATGAAATATGTTGGTTATAACGGGTAAATCTAGTGGGTATAATGGGTTTTAGCTTGTTGTAGCCCTTATTATATAGGTAGATTCTTTTAGGACTCAGATTTTATAAACCCAGAGATCATAGAAGATATGTAGCTGCTTTTTCCTACTCTTTCCATCACCACCCAAAATGTTAAGATAACTTCAAAACACAAAAAAAGCCAAGATAATGAGCTGCTGAGTAAGATGACCATTGCATGTTTGCTGCGAAACTGGGTGGAAGCACAGAAGGACCAGGTAAGAAATGGGTGTCCAAGGGGAAGTGCTGAATTGGGGAATGATTATGCTCTCGGAGAGTGCCCAGAAATGAAGATTTGGAGTTACACTAGTTCCAAATGAAGCAAGAGTTGCAGCTTATGGAAAAGAAAGCTGGTGAGCTCATGTCTTATGCTTCTT